GCTCGAAAATTTCCTACGCTTGCCCCAGGGATTGGAACCAAAATGTTAAAGCTCGTGTGCAATGTCTGAGCCTACAGACGAATAAAAAAAAATAATTGATTCAGATTGTGGCTCCAGAACGTCTCCGAATAATGGCAAACGCCCGCGCAATCGCTCGTACATGCGCTCGAAAATTTCCTACGCTTGCCCCAGTGATTGGAACCAAAATGTTAAAGCTCGTGTGCAATGTCTGAGACTACAGACGAATAAAAAAAAATATTTCGCTGAGATCGTATAGCCGGATGCGCTTCGAAGAAAGACGAACGCCCGCGCGTTTCACCGTACATACGGTTATAAATATCCTATGTGATCAGTTTTCCATGGCCAATGTGATCTTGTATTGCCATGCATTGCCTATTGCGTTTTAGTTGTCAAAATTCCCCCCTCCCCACCCCGTCTTGTGCAACGCTTCACCTTTCTGATCCCACCATAATTGACAATCCACGCTCGATGTGCAACTTCACTCTGTGCCAACCTCGTGTTATTGATTGACGCTTGGCCAAGATGTCGAATAATTACACAATTTTTATACTCATATTTATGCAGTATTCTCTTTCATTTGTCATTATTTTGATACGAAAATCACGTCGGTTTTCTGTCTACATTTTTATGGTTACATTTTTTTGGTTTTTCCAGAAGAAATTTGTGATGCTACTGAGCGGATGTTATTGAAGGGGGATATTCCTATGAAGGAATCTTTGGAGAGCATGGTGAAGGAGCTGCTTCGACAGCAGAAGGAGGATCGAAAGCGGTATGACGCTATTTTGGAGCAACAGCAGCAGCAGCAGCAGTTGCTACAACAACTGCAGCAGCAAGAAGTGAATGGTATATTATATTTACCTATTATTCTTTGTATCAGTGTATAATCACTGATATCTCTGCCAAGTATGTCACTGGTAATCAGTGAATTAAATGTGAGATTCCTAACGTAGCTAATCTTTATTATGTGATCTAACTAACTTTGTTTTGTTCTTAAATTCAATGAATATGGTATTGTAAAATTGAAATTAACGTGCAAATATCAGTATTTTAGTTATACAGGGTGTCTCGACCTTTTTTATCAATCACTTCTGTGTTGATAGAGCGGACTAAATTAAGTCGAAAATTCTCTACCATTTTACAATTTTCGCAATAATTAATAAGATATTAATTACTAAAAATTGCAAAATATTGGTCGTGAATAATTATTTACTCAAATACTATCAACTTTACAGAAAAACTGCAAGAGAATTATTTATCTTCTTCTTATAAAGTTCTGAGAATTTTTCCAGAATTTTTTAATACCTTATTTTCTCATAATGGTAAAAATAAGAAAATGCAGTACTAAAAAGTTGATAAAATATTCTGAAAAAAATATCAGAACTTTATGAGAAGAAAATAGGTAATTTTTGTCTCTTGCAGTTTTTCTGTAAAATTGATAGTATTTGAGTAAAAAATTATTCAATACCAATATTTTGCAATTTTTAGTAATTAATATCTTATTAACTATTGCGAAAATTGCAATATAGTTAGAGGACTCAGTTTAGTCCGCTCTATCTACACAAAAGTGATTTGCAGAAAAGGTCGGGACACCCTGTATAATGCTCAAAAATTCTTCCTTTTTTAGTTGAACTTCACTGATTATCAGCCAAGTATGTCACTGGGTAATTATTAATATTTTTATATTTTCTTTTATTTCAGCAGTAAATCGGCGAGGACAGGGACATGGGCGTAGCCGGGCCCAATGGTACCTCCGCCGTCATTATCGTGACGCACCAAGGCAAGATACCAATGACCATAGTCAACAAGATGGTGATGGTCAACAAGATGGTGGTGATGGAGGTGGTCGAGGTGGCGGTAGTCGTGATGGCGGTAGTCGTGGTGGCGGTCACTACCACGGTAACTATCATCGTAGTTATCGTGGTAGAAGAATGTTTAGAGGGAGGCCGAAGCCGAATGTGACAATTGTTAAAAATTATTAAGGACATTAGGCCTTTTAATTAATTTATTTATTTATTTATATATTTACTATATATTGTATTTAGTTGGCAGTTCATAATTCATATATTTGTTGCTTATAAGATTAAATAGAAGAAGAATAGAAAATTTTTTATTATCATACAGCATGCTTTAAGCAATTTATTTAAATAAAAGTACACTAATATGAATATAATTAGGTATATTTGTTTTTGCAATTTCCAAATTTTATTCTAATTTTTCGTACCTTATCCATATGTCTATTGATTGCTTAATTTTGTATTGTATATAACAAAGAGGTTTAATAAATATATTTTGTCGAACAGAATTTACAGACCTAAATAATTTATAAATGCACCGTTTTGGTACTGATATAGAAGCATAATGTTTCTTAACCAAAATTAATAAAAAATAAAAGTAATTAAAATTAAAGAATTGGAAAGAGTAAGGGCACTAGGAGTCAGGTGCAGAAGACGTCGCGCAAATAATACACTTATAAAGAGTGAAACTTCTTTATTCACT